GACGTTGTATGATTTAATAACGTCATATTTTATTTATTTAAAGATGTATTGTATTCTTTTACACGATGTATGTTGTATAAAATAGGTCGTCTATTCTTCTCCAGGATAATTTTTTGGTTCATTTTTCAGTATACAGACGTCGGTTGTTTTTGTAAATGACGTTGTTTATTACAACAACGACGGTGATTTACCTTAACCGCTATTTCCACGTCAATATTAATGGAAAAAGTGAAGTAACAATACTATTTCACGACGGTTATATAAATATATTCGACGTCGTATGATTTAATAACGTCATATTTTATTTATTTAAAGACGTATTGTATTATTTTACACGACGTATGTTGTATAAAATAGGTCGTCTATTCTTCTCCAGGACAATTTTTTGGTTCATTTTTCAGTATACAGACGTCGGTTGTTTTTTTGTTAATGAAGTTATTTGTTATAACAACGACGGTGATTTCGCGTCGTGGTTTTCAAATCAAATGCATCATGCAAGTCTAAAGCCATCTCAAATCTTCTCATACATGACAACAAAAGCAGGAGGGCCTTAACATTTAAATTTCATTCAAGCTGATTGCAACAATTTGATTATGAGAAAGCGCACTGAATTTCAAAAAAGAGGTGACTCACAATGTTTGCTTGAATATTTCAAGCAAAAGCAAGCTCAAGATAAGTCATTCTTTTATTCTATTCGAACAAACATGGAGAATGAAATATGTGGTTGTTTTTTTTGTGATGGAAAAGCAAGACGTGATTATGCTATATTTGGTGATGTTATGTGTTTTGATACGACATTCAAAACGAACAACTACAACATGGTGTGTGCTCCGATCATTGGGCTTAATAATCATGGGCAGACCATACTTTTTGGATGTGGTTTGCTAGATGGAGAGAGTACTGACGCATGTGAGTGGTTGTTTAAGGTCTTCTTACAAGCTAATGAAGGAAAAGAACCAAAAACCATATTTACCGATCAAGCTCAATCAATTGCTGCTGCAATCATCGAAGTATTTCCTAATTGCCATCACCGACTTTGCTTGTGGCATATATATCAGAATGCTGCAAAGAACTTGGGTCATATTTTTTCTAAGTTTCAAGCATTCGCAAAAGATTTTAAAAGTTGTGTATATGATCCAAAGATTGTTGAAGAATTTGAATCAAGTTGGGAAGCTTTACTTGATGATTATGGATTGAGAGGAAATAGTTGGCTAGAAGGAATATACGCATTGCGTGAGAAATGGGCACAAGTTTATGGGCGAGACCACTTTTGTGCAGGTATAAAAACATAGAAATCCTTTTCTTTTAAGTTTTTATTTTGTGAAATATGATTAATTCATGTTAATTTTTTTTCTAGGTATGACAACAACACAAAGAAGTGAAAGCATAAACGCATTTTTGAAAAAGTTTTTTTCTCGAAACCTTCTTCTTCGAGAATTTGTTGTACAATATGACAAAGCTGTAGCGGACCGAAGAGAAAAGGAAAGGCAAGCAGAAACTGCAACTAAACAAAAATGGCGCAATTTATCCTCTAATTGGAACGTGGAGATTGAAGCAACAACGAAGTATACAAGTAAGTTGTTCTATTGTTTCCAAGATGAGTGTAAGAAACTTTTAGGTTTGAGGCTGAAATTACAAAGTGATGATGGGCTAACACGTAGATATATGGTTATGAATTCGGGAATGAGAGGAATGAGCAGATCACTTACATATGACCTTTCTGATCAAACGGTCAATTGCAGCTGTAAAAAGTTTGAATTTGAGGGGATTCTTTGTGCACATTCACTAAAATTATACCATGAATTAGAGTTCTCAACTCTACCATCTAAGTATTATTTAAAGAGATGGAGCAAGGAAGCTACATGTGATGTTGACTTTGATTCGAATGGGGAAGCACCTTTGAGTACTCTAGAGTCATCTTCCATGGTTCAGTATAGCGAGTTATCTCATATAGTACAAAGAATCATAGCAAAGGGTGCAAGGAACAACCAAACATGCACTTTTTTAAAGTCTGAATTGTTACTGTTAGAGGCAAAATTAGAAAAACATCCATATTTTGGAGACGAACACAATGAAATTCTTGATAAGCATGTCAGTGAAGATGAGGATAATCTTAAATTGCGAGATCCAAAGATTCAAAAGTCGAAAGGTAGAGGAAAAGGTAGAATTAAGAGTTCTTTGGAATCAAAGCCATCTATAAAGAAAGGTTCATCTAAAAGAAAAGGTTAGTAGTTAGTTGATCAACTTTTTTGTTCATTATTTACTTTATGTCAATCTAATTATCATTTAATTGTTTTACAGCGTTTAAGGAAATTAATTTATCCGCACGTGAGATGAGCGGACACTCAAATTTATATACACATGTTCAGGTATAGAATTTTTGTAATTTTTTTTAACATTGGCATTCTCAAAGTATATTTTTTTATGTATTGATTGGAATTTAATATTTAGGAATCGATTGGAATGCCAACTCAAAATCATTTCAATATGGCATCTGTATGCAAAGTCGCAGATTTTCAGTATGGATTTCCAACTGTTTCTAGTGTTCAAGGGATTCCAAATCACCCACTTATAACTAAGAGTGAGGAATTCGTAAGGAGTTAGGGTGGGCATCTCATCCGAATTATCCGCGTACCGACCGTACCGTACCGACGGTTTGGTTTGGTTTGGTTAAATAATTATTTTTTAATTTTAATTATTCCGATCCGATCCGTACCGAAATATTTGGTTTGGTTAACGGTTAACAATATCCCTTATCCGACGGAAATCCGTACCGATCCGATATTTATAATTATTTTATTATTTAAGTACTTATATATGTATCTATTTATTAGTGGCTGGATATTAAGTTATTGTAGACTGCGAAACACTGAAACACTACCTGCATTAACCCTAAAATTTGACTTTCCATCTTTTAGTTTCATCCAGCCGTCCTCTAACCCCCAAACATCTGAACTTTCTCTTCTCTCTGTTAGCTTAGCCGCACAACCATCGCTCTCATCTCTCTGAGCAGGTATGTTGACTCAACATTTTGTAAGACCCAGCCTCATTTCACATTGATTTCAGAGGCAACATAAGAAGAACTCTTATCGTTTAAATTTTTTATTCACAGGGTATTTTGCATAAGAAGAACTTTTATCATTTCACACTGATTTCTGCAGCAACCATCGCTCTCTTATCTTCTACAATCGCTCCAAAAGGTACTTTGCTTTTTAAAATTTATTTATTTATTTCTTAGCCCAGCATAAAAAAGAATAAGAAAAACGAAAAGGAGATGAGAAGTTGCAGGACCTGCAACTTTTCTTTCTTTTTTGGTTCATAACGTGGCAAATACAATGATTAAAGCTATATGAATTGGAACAGATGTTGACTATTCAAATGTGCACAAGGAATCTTAGTATTTAAATATTGTAAGGAATGAATCATTTAGCTTTAATCTTTAGTTTCAATTGCAGAAAGCTATATGTAATATCACTCATGTCTTTTTGTTTAATTTAATTAATTTGTGTTTCAATTGCAAAAACCTTCAGTTCATCTACTAGTCCTATGTCAAACGTAAGTTCAACTCCTACACCAACCTCTGCACAAACTGTGGATATTTCATCAAATGCTATTTCCTCACTTCCACCACAGAATAACTTAAAAAGAAAAGCTGCAGCTCGGTCTAATGTGTGGGAACATTTTGATAAGATAAAGAAGGAAGAATGTACAAATGATGATGAACCTAGGTGCATATGTAAGTACTGTAAGCAAGATTATGGATGTGACTCCCGTAATGGTACTTCTTCTTTATGGTATCATTTAAAGATTACATGTAGGACATCTCCACTTAGAGATGCCAAAAGTCAAAAACTCTTATCATTTGGCAAGGAGGATAAGAGTAGTATAGCGAGTTGGTCCTTTAGTAAGGAGAGATCTAGACTTGCATGTGCACGGATGATTATTCGTGATGAGCTTCCATTTAGCCATGTAGAGAATGTGGGGTTTAGAGATTTAATGCAAGAAGTCCAACCAAAGTTTGATCCACCAT